CAAAACATGGTTCCATCTGAAGAACTGAGACAGAAAGGCCTGTGAGAGAAGCTGGAATTTTGTCAAGGAGAAGGAAACCAGGAGTTCTTCGATGGCCATGTTACATTTGAGATACCTATCGAACAACCAGGGTGGGAGGGGAGGGGAGTGTCACCTAGACAGTGGGATTATTGATTTTGGTGTTCAGGAAAACATTTGAGACTGAACATACGGATTTGGAAATTGTTGGCCAACAGCTGGTGGTACAGCCATTAGGCTTGGATGAGATCGCCTAAGGAATGAGCGTAGGTGGAGAAGAGAAGGGTTCGAAGGATTGAGCTCTGGTCTCCAACGTTGAGAGGTTGGAGAGATGAAAAAGGACAGCAAAGGATACGGAGGAAGAGTCGCCGGTGAAGTAGAGGGAGAGCCAGGCAAGCGTGGTGGCCTGGACACCAAGCAAAGAAGATTTTTAACGATAAAACTGTGATTACATTGTCAAATGCGATTACGTCAAATAGAATAAGGACTTGGCAATACGAAGGTCATTGCTGATGGCGACGAGAGTCATTTCTGGGAAGCGGGAGCTAAAGCCTGACTGAAAAGGGTTTGAGAACGCGAGGGGAGAATTTGAATAAATACACACGACTCTTGAAAGAGCTTTCCTGTAAAGGGAAGAAGAGCGATGGGGCAGTAGGGAAAAAGGGAAAGTGGGACCAGGACAGGTTTTTATTTGCTTGTTCATTTGTTCTTGTTGGTTTCGTAGATGAAATTTCAACCTATTTGTATGCCGATGGGAATAATCCTGTCGAAAGGCAAAAGCTGATGCACAGAGAAGGAGAGAATTCCTGAAGTGAGGTTCTCAAGTAAGCGAGAAGGCAGGTTTGAGTGCACGATGCAGCGGGTAATAAAGACGAAAGCACAGATCAGTTACCCACGAGAAGAGGAAAGCAGAGAGTGTACCGCCCCAAAAGCAGGTGGGTAGGTAAAAGTGGACATGGGAATCTTTGGACCTTCTCCTCAGGTCGCTTTATTGTTCTCAGTGAGATGAAAAGTAAGACAATCATGTGAGAGTGTGGATTGTGCAGGCAGGGTTGGATATTTGAGGAGAAAGGGGAAAATATGCTATTATTATCTAAGGAGAGAGACGTGGGTTGGGGGTACATTAGGATTCCAGGAGAGCATTGTGGGCTGCTCGAAGTCGGTGAGCATGAATTTAAAGTGAAATCAATCAGTGGGGGTGTGTGTCATTCACCCGCTCTGTTCAGTTGTAGGAGAGAAGGTACACATGGGCGAAGAATTAGACTCAACTAGAATTCTTGCGGAGCAAAAAAAAATGCAATGAAACATGAGAGACTGAAGAGAGTTATAAATGTTTTCAGAGGAGTGATTATAATGATGAACATGAAGTTTAACCTTGACAAGGTGGGCGGTGAAGAATAAAGGAGCTGAGAGAGGATGGGAAGACAGTAGAATCCACGGATTACATTTGCTGGTGAGTGGGGGGAATTATTAGAACTAGGGCACTAGAGGAAATACATTGGAAATATAGAAGGCGAATGAGTGGTTGTTAGAGTGAAATGTTTAGAATTTAGATCTAGGGTAAGTTGCAATTATTAGAAAGAAGAAGTTCAGGGGCATAACTATGTAAGGAAATAGATGATGGAGGTTGGAGCCTGGAAAGTGTTAGACAGGTCATCTTTATGGATATCAAAATCAACACCTTTTAAGACAGGAACAGTGCTAGAAAAGTGACAGTGAGCAGGAGCTACATTTTTGTAATG